CTGGCCCTCTATCACTGAAGCCACAGCCCTGCTTCTGGATTTTTGGTGGTTAATTGGAGATAGGAGTCTCACAGACTTTCCTGCCTGGGCTGGCTTTGAATCTCGGTCCTCATTTCTCAGCCTCCTGAGTAGCCCAGTACAGAAATTTTTTTTCTTTTTTTTTTCTTTTTTGTCGGTCATGGGGCTTGAAAACTCTGGGCCTGGGCGCTGTCCCTCAGCTCTTCAGCTCAGGGCTAGCGTTCTACCACTTGAGCCACAGCGCCACTTCCGGCTTTTTTTTTCTTTTGTGGTGCTTAGGAATCGAACCCAGGGCCTCATGCATGCAAGGCAAGCGCTCTACCACTGAGCCACCTTCCCAGCCCCAGAAAATCTTTTTAAAAAAAGAAAAATAAGAGAAACTAACAGAAAAAAGGAAATAAAGGTAAAATTAGAAGCCGGGCGCTGGTGGCTCACGCCTGTCATCCTAACTACTCAGGAGGCTGAGATCTGAGGATCGCGGTTCAAAGCCAGCCCGGGCAATAAAATCTGTGAGATTCTTACCTCCAAGTCATCACCCCAAAACTGGAAGTGGAGCTGTGGCTCAAAGTGGTACAGCATTAGCCTTGAGCACAAAATGTCAGGAACAGTGCCCAAGCCCTGAGTTCAAGTCCCATGACCAACAACATCAACAAAAGACTTCATAATTTTGCCACAAATAAGAATATTCACAAAATTGACAACATCCTATTTCCCTAAATCACCATAATAATTCAGATAGTCTAGCTAAGAAGACAAAGCAGAAATTAAACATAGGACATAATCAAGGAACTTCAACAAGATTAAATTCCTGTGTGCTGGAAACATTTTAAAAGATGAAACCAGTCACCGTTGCTTCTACTTGTAATGTGACTAAAGCGGGAGGATTGTGAATTCTAGGCCAGGTAACCACATAGTGAGATCTTCTCAAAGGGAAGGTAGGGGTGGTTTCAGTAAGTCGCTCAGTGACAGAACATCTATCTAGCATTTTTTTTTTCAGTTCTGAGGCATGAACTCAGGGCCTGGGCTCTGTCCCTGAGCTTCTTTTGCTCAAGGCTAGCACTCTACCACTTGAGCCATAGTACTACGTCCAGTTCTTTTGGTTTATGGGGTACTGAGGAATCAAACCCAGGGCTTCAAGCCCAGCACTCTACCATGAAGCCACCTTCCCAACCCAAGTGGAATACATTCTAAGACTCAGATCTCATAAACTCTGCCAATGAAAGTGGTGCCTTCCAGGCTAGTAAGGTGGCTTTGTGATAGAGTGCTTGCCTAGCAAGCATGAAGCCCTGGGTTTGATCCTCAATACCACATACACAGAAAAAGCCGGAGGTGGCACTGACACTCAAGTGGTAGAGTGCTAACCTTGAGTAAAAGAAGCTCAAGGACAGTGCCCAAGCCCTGAGATAAAGCCCCAGGACTGGCAAAAAAGAAAAGAAAAGAAAAAAGAAAAGTGGTGCCTTGTGTCGAGCCTCATATAAGGCTGAGACCGCAGCCGACACCTTGATTATAGCTTTAAGGCCCCCAAGCAGAACTATATCCAGGATCTTGAACTATAGAAACTGTTATTTGCATTTCTTTTATTTTACACAATGATGAGTTTCATTGGGACATTGTCACATGTACATATCAATCACATATACCCCCTTCACCTTTCTTTTTTTTTTTTTTTTTTTGGTCAGTTGTGGGGCCTGAACTCAGCCTGGGCGCTGTCCCTCAGCTCTTCGGCCACAGCGCCACTTCCGGCTTTTATTATTTTTGCTTATGTGGTGCTGAGGAATAAAACCCAGGGCCTCAGGCATGCAAGGCAAGCGCTCTACCACTGAGCCACCTTCCTACCCCCCCCCCGCACAAATTTTTTTTAACGAACATCTGACACACAGAAATTTTGAAATATGTGATGTTTAGACAGTACCATATAATAGTCAAAAACTAATATGATTAACACTCCATCTACATCTCAGAATCACCCCCACAGGCACTCAGCTGGTTAGCTTATGCCCCCCAATATTGTAATCACAATGTTAATAAGATTAAAATTCAATTTTTGTGTTACTGTGATGTTGTAAATACACCTGGAAATATTCTCAAGTGAAACTATAGCTATGTCTTTTGCACTTTATTTCTTGGTGCTGGGAATTAACTCCAGGGCTTGATATAATTCATATGTGTGTGTGCCAGTACTGGGACTTGAACTCAGTGCTTAAGGATTGTTGCTTAACTTTTCCTATTCAATGCCGGGACTCTATCACTTGAGCCACAGCTCTACTTCTGACTTTTTAGTGGCTAGTTGGAAAGAAGAGTCTCAGACTTTTCTGCCTAGGCTGTCTTTGAACTTCGATCCTCAAATCTCATCATCTTGAAAAGCCAGAATTATAGGCATTAGTCATCAGTGTCCGGTTTCATGTGTACTTTTTTTTAATGTTAAGTGTAGATTGATTTTTTTATTTGCCTACTTTTCCATTTATTCATAATTGTCCCTAAACCTCTCCTTCCAGGTCTAAGTTTTCCCTTAGTATGTTCAAACCTAGTAAGTTGTTAGATACAAGAGCACAAACCATAAGAATTTTTAAATCTTGTTTACTGAGAAACTTTAAAAAGTGAAGACAATTCACATGTTAGAAATTATCTGTTACATAGCAACAAAGGGTACAAACCCTCCCAAAAAAGTTTAAAGCCACAAAACAAGAAAGAAAGATAAACAAAAGTGCCCAAAAAATGTGAACAGGAAAAAGCTAATAAACACCAGTTACCACTTGGGTGACACACTGCTTGAATACAATGGAGAATAATACTTTACCCAATACCTATTTTTCCAAGTTTGATAATGGCATTCCCAGAAACACATACAACAGAAAAATAAATAAAGAAAGTTTTGCTTTATCTCTAGACATATAAAAACAAAGTGCTCCCTCTTCCTGTAAGTGTATACATTTCCTAAGACACATAGAAACAACATACAATGGACTTTTCCTTGCCTAGTATCTAGGACAGGACATGGCTTCCAGTGCTGCATCTCACAACTTGCCACCCACTCTGTTGTGTTTTTGTTTGCTTTTGTGCTGACACTGGGTTTGAACTTAATGCCTCAAGCTCCTACTTGGCTTTTTTGCTCAAGGCTGGTGCTCTACACTTGAGCCACAGCTGGACTTCCGGCTTTTTGCCAGCTCATAGGGGTTGAGAAAGTGGCTTAGTGGTAGAGTGCTTGCCTAGCATGCATGAAGCCCTGGCTTCAATTCCTCAGTACCATATAAACAGAAAAAGTCAGAAGTGGCATGTGGCTCAAGTGGTATAGCAAAAGAAGCTCGGGGACAGAGCCCAGGCCCTGAGTTCAAGCCCCAGGACTGGCAAAAATAAAATAAAATAAATAGTCTCACAGACTTCCTGTCTAGACTGGCTTTCAACTGTGATCCTCAGATCTCAGCCTCTTGAGGCGCCACTGTGCCAGCAGTGCACGTACCTGTGCTAGGTAAGAACTAGTAGTCAATAAGCACCTGATGAAATTAATTAGCAGTGCCCGGCCTATCATCCTCTCTATTAAGGTTGATTAATTTTAGTGTGCACCTTTTCTTTTTTTTTTTGGTCCGGTCATGGGGCCTGAACTCTGGGTCTGGGCGCTGTCCCTCAGCTCTTCAGCTCAAGGCTAGCACTCTACCACTTGAGCCACAGCGCCACTTCCGGCTGTTTTCTTCTTGCTTATGTGGTGCTGAGGAATCGAACCCAGGGCCTCATGCATGCAAGGCAAGCACTCTACCACTGAGCCACCTTCCCAGCCCCTACCTTTTCCCCTTTTATATCCTAGTAGAGTTCTTATTTTTCAGTTTCTTTTTGTTTTAACTGGCATCAACTAGTACTACAATGGGGTTTCATTTTAACATACCCATTTATGAACATAATGTTTTGGATCATAATCCTCCTCCCCCTCCCCTTTCCAAACCAGTCTCATCAAGTTTTTGTTTCATTTCCTCCAACATACAGGAAAAGTCTTTGGACATTCCCCTTCCCCCTCTCTGTTCATTTGCAGCCTTCCTACTAGGACCCACACCCAGACAAGGTATGTTTGGACTTCTTACATTCCTTTTTTGTTAAAAGTGTTTCTGGGCACAGGCAGCACACATCTGTAATCCTAGCTACTACTCAGGAAGCTGAGATCTGAAGATCACTGAAGTGGAGCTATGACTCAAGCTGTATAGTATTAGCCTTAAACAAAGAAGCTCAGAAACAGCATCCAGGCTTAGTTCAAACCTCACACCCCACCAGCACACACACACACACACACACACACACACACACAAAAGTGCATGATAATTGATTCAAATGGGTTTGGGTGTTGTTTTTATTTGAGACTGTGTTACTGCATTACCCAGGCTGGTCACAAATATCCTGGGCTCAAGCAATCTTCCTGCCTCAGCCTCCTGAGTGGTCAGGACTATAGATTGTCCCTCCACACATGACCTGGTAGTTCTTACATTTTTAAATAATGTTCTTTTGTTTCTTAGTCCTTGATTAGGTTCATTCTTAGACATTAATCCTTTATGTTTATATATAACCTTTTTTTTTCTTTTTTGGTGCCAGTCTTGGGTCTTGAACTCTAGACAACCTGGGTGCTGTAATGAGCTCCTTTAGCTACAGGCTAGCACTCTACCCACTTGAGTAACAGCACCACTTCCAGCTTCTTCTGTGATTAATTGAAGAGTCAAGTCTCACAAACTTTCCTGCCTGGGATGGCTTTGAACTGTCATCCTCAGATTTAACCGCCCCTCCCCAGCCCAGTAGCTAGGATTACAGGTGTGTGCCACCAGTGCCCAGCCTATAATCCTTTCTATTAAGCTTGATTATGATAAACAGAAAACAAAATATTGTATACATTCATTTTAGTCATTCATTGCTATGGCAGTTATTCCCAATTAATCACAATAATCCCAACTATTATTAATAATCCTAGTTATCATTCTAGTTCTTGATCCTTTTCGGAAAACCAAACTTCAAAATTCACCAAAAACTGGAAACCCGTTGTTTCTTTCGTATTCAATTTGTTCTAACAGAAACGCTCTACTTACGTTGTCAATTTTGTCCTGAGAGAATAGATTGACCACAGGAATAAAATAATGCGCCAGATTTTCTGTCCTGAGACACTCGAGGAGGAATGTGACACAGTTATCAAAGCACAGCTTTAGATCCTTGGGATCCCACTGGCTGTCCAGGTGGTACCGGGAACACAAGTGAAAGAAAGCAGTTTTCACATGATAAGAACAGAATTTATTCAGCTCTTTGCGGTCCTCAAACTTCTTTTTCAGCTGTTCCAGAAGGTATTTCATTAGTTTTAGGCATTTTTTCCTGTTTAATTTTAAAAAGATCTGTTTATTATTCACAGTCTGCCTCATTTCACAACAGACTTCAGGCATCTTATAGAAGAAACACATTTGGACAGAAAATATATTTTATTATAAGCTGGGCACTGGTGGCTCACACTTGTAATCCCAGCTACTTAGGATGGTGAGACCTGGAAGATTGAGATTTGAAGACAGCCTGGGCAAAAAAGACAAGAAAAAAGTCTGCAAGACTCCATCTTTAAATAACCAGCAAAATGCTGGAAAGGAGGCATGGCTTAAGTGGTAGAATACCAGCTGTGAGCAAACAAGCTAAGTGAGAGCTCCAGGCTCTGTTCAAACCAAAATACCAGCACCAAAAAAGAAATAAAACCACTGACCAAATATATGCTTTGAAGTTTTTCTTTCCTCTTCCCCAATCCCAGCTTAAAAGTTTTACTCTACTACCATTTAATTGAACCTCATAAAACTAATATATTACTCTTCCAGTCACCTCAGTATCTACAAAAATTTTGTTGAAGCCTGGTGCCAGTGGCTCAAGCCTGTAATCCAACTAATCAGAAGGCGAAGGTCCAGGGCTGCGAAGGTGGCTCAGTGGTAGAGTGCTTGCCTTGCATGTATGACACACTGGGTTCGATTCCTCAACACCACATAAGCAGAAAAAGCCGGAAGTGGCGCTGTGGCTCAAGTGGTAGAGCCTTGAGCTGAAGAGCTGAGGGACAGTGCCCAGTCTGTCCCAGAATTCAGGCCACATCACAGAAAAAAAAAAAAAAAGGCTGCAATCTGAGGATCTTGATTTGAAACCAGCCTGAGCAGAAAAGTCTAAGACTCTTTTTTTTTTTCTTTTTTTGTTGGTCATGGGGCTTGAATTCTGGGCTTGGGCACTGTCCCTAAGCTCTTCAGCTCAAGGGTAGCACTTTACCACTTGAGCCACAGCACCACTTCTGGTTTTCTGGTGATTTATTGGAAATAAGAGGCTCTTGGACTTTCCTCCCAGGCTAGCTTTGAACCTCTATCTTCATATCTCAACCTCCTGAGTAGCTAGGACTATAGAAGTGAGCCACTGATGCCCAGCTAAGTCTGAGAATTTTATTAACCACAAAAAAAGCCAGAAGGAGAGCTGTGGCTCAAATGTTATAGCACTAGCCTTGTGCAAGAAAGCTCAGGACAAGCTCCAGGCCCTGAGTTCAAGCCCTAGAACCAGCATTAAAGAAAATTGTTGGGGCTGGGAAGGTGGCTCAGTGGTAGAGCGCTTGCCTTGCATGCATGAGGCCCTGGGTTCGATTCCTCAGCACCACATAAGCAAAAAGAAAAAAGCTGAAAGTGGCGCTGTGGCTCAAGTGGTAGAGCACTAGCCTTGAGCTGAAGAGCTGAGGGACAGTGCCCAGGCCCAGAGTTCAGGCCCCACAACCGGACCCCCAAAAAAAAGAAAAATCAGTTACTTAGTTTTATTAGCAATATGTTTTCCTTATTGCTATGTCAAAACCTACACATAAGCTGGGCGTCAGTGGCTCATGCCTGTAATCCTAACTATTCAGGAGGCTGAGATCTGAAAATCATGGTTCAAAGCCAGCCAGAGCAGGAAAGTCCATGAATTCTTATCTCCAATAAACCACCAGAAAACCTGAAGGGCACTGTGGCTCAAGTATTAACCTTAGGCTGAACTGCTGAGGAACGGTGCAGGCCCAAAATTCAAGCCCCACTACCAACTAAAAAAAAAAAAAAAAAAAAAGACCTACACATAATTTAGAGACTACACGTTGGGCATTCTTATTTTATTCTGTGTGTGTGTGTGTGTGTGTGTGTGTGTGTGTGTGTGTGTGTGCGCGCGCGCGCGCGCGCGCGCGCGCATGCGTGCTGGAGCTTGAATTCAGGACATGGGCACAAGCTCCAGGTGCATTCTACAGCTCTTCTACAGGCTAGCATTCTACAGCTCTTCTGCTAGCTAATTGTAGAAAAGAGTCTCATGGACTTTCCTGCTAAGGCTGGCTTCAAATTGGGATCTATAGATCTCAGCCTCCTAAGCAGTTACAAGTACAGGTCAGATCACTTTTATTTTTCCTGTGGTACATGGCTTTGAATTCAGGCCTTGCACTTGCAAGTGCTCTCACTTGAGTCACATCCCAGCCCTTTCCTTTTCTGTTTTGTTTGGTTGTTTTTCTGTTTGTTTGCTTAGTTTAGTTTTACGGGCTAGCCTTGGACCTTGATCATCCTGCTTTGACCTCCCTAGTATCTGTGACCACAGGAATTTGCAACCACATCAGGTTTGGGTTTTTTTTTTTTTAGTTGTTGTTTGTTTTGTCAGTCGTGGGGCTTGAACTTGGGTCTGGGCACTGCCCCTGAGCTCTTCAGCTCAAGGCTAGCACTCTACCACTTGAGTCACAGCACCAGTTCCTGTTTTCTGGTGGTTAACTGGAGATAAGAGTCTAACAGACTTTCCTGCCGGGGCTGGCTTTGAGCCCAGGCTGGCTTTTAACTACGATCCTCAGTTCTCAGCCTCCTGAGTAGCTAGGATTACAGGTGTGAGCCACCAGCGCCTGGCTCAGGTTTGGGTTGGTTTGTTGTTGTTTTTTTTTGGTCGGTTGGGTGACCTGAACTCTGGACCTGGGCACTGTCCCTCAGCTCTTCAGCTCAAGGCTAGTGCTCTACCACTAGAACCACATGGCCACTTCTGGCTTTTTCTGCTTATGTGGTGCTGAAGAATCGAACTCAGGGCCTCATGCATGCGAGGCAAGCACTATACCACTAAGTCACCTTCCCAACCCCTCAGGTTTGCTTTTGAATTAAGATTTTGCAAACTCTTGTCCAGGCTGGCCTCAAACCAAGATCCTTTCACCTCCAAGTAATTGAGATTATAGACATTTATCACCACACTCAACTTAGCATGGTCAACCTTAGAATCTCAAACTACAGAGCTCTGAGTTCAAAATTCAGTCCCACCAAAAAGAAACTGAAATAATTTCTTTTGTGGTATATACTAATAAAAATTACTGCCACTTAGTGTGGCTTCAAATTTACCTAGTTAGTTCCTAGATTTCAACTCAGCCACACCATCCCAAAATAAGCACTTTTTTTGTTTTTGTTGTTTGTGAGGCTTGAAATCAAGGTCTGGGTGCTGGCCTGGAGCTTTTCTGCTCAAGGCTAGTGCCTTACCACTTTGTACCACAGAACCATGGAGTTTCCTGCCTAGGCTGGCTTTGAACAGTGATCCTCAGATCTCAGCCTCCTGAGTAGCTAGGATTATAGGCAGGAGCCACCAGCACCTGGCTAAGCACCCATATCTATTGAGTGATCCTCGGGATGGGAATATGGCTTAGTGTTGAGAGTGTTTGCCTAGCATGCAAGAAGCCCTCGGTTCATTCTATTTCTCAGTACCACATAAACAGATAAGGCCAGAAAGTGGTACTGTGGCTCAAGTGGTAGAGTGCTAGACTTGAGCAAAAGAAGCTCAGGGACAGAGCCCATGCCCTGAGTTCAAGCTCCACGACTGGCAAAAAAAAAAAAAAAAGTGATCCTCAGGCCAGGCTCTAGTGGCTCATACTGTAATCCTAGCTACTCGAGAAATCTAAGGACCAAGGTTTGAAGCCAGCCCACACAGGGAAGTCCATGATTCTTTACCTTCAATGAAACACCAAAAAGCCAGAAGTGGAGCTATGGCTTAAGTGGTAGAATACCAGCCTTGAGTAAAAAAGCTAAGGGACAGCACCAGGCCCTGAGTTCAACTCCCAGTCCCAGTCCCAGTCCAAAACAGAGAGATCTTCCAGCCTCCACATGACTCACACTCTCAGGGGCTGGGAAGGTGGCTCAGTGGTAGAGTGCTTGCCTTGCATGCCTCAGCACCACATAAGCAAAAAAGAAAAAAAGCCAGAAGTGGCGCTGTGGCTCAAGTGGTAGAGCGCTAGCCTTGCTGAAGAGCCGAGGGACAGCGCCCAGGCCCAGAGTTCTGGCCCCACGACGGGACCCAAAAAAAAAAGGAGCACATGATTCACACTCTCCCCAGGTCATCCCAGCACTTTCCTGATCCAACTTAACCCATCAATAATCACTTTTCACCCTTGAGCGACAAAGTTCACAAAGAATTAAACAAATCATAGATAATCAGCCACTTTTTAAAAAAGGATATTTACCTGCAACATTTCACGTCATCGGTTTCACAACATGTTTTAGATTTTCCATGATTATTTAAAATGTCCTTTTCAATATGAGAGAAAGATATCCGCCATGTCTCTCCTTAATTTCAAAAAGAGAAACAGAGAAGCACTTTACCAGAGCAACCATAGCTAACCAGCACACCATGGAAGTGATTTCCTGAACTTTCACTCTGAGGAAATTCTACTGGAAGGCAAACCAAAAGAAGTAAACAGAAGTGTAATGTAATTAAGTGTTAAATAAGTGTTCTACCCAGGAACTGATGGCTCACACCTATAATCCTAGTTACTCAGGAGGCTGAGATCTGAGGACCGTGGTTTTAACTGAGTAGCTAGGATTACAGGCATGAATGGCAGCATGAATGGCTTAAATTAAACTTCAAGTGTAGGTTAGTACACATCTCCAAGCTAAGTACCTGATAGTACTTCTATGATTGTATCCTTTTCTTTTTTTTTTTTTTTTGGTCCAGTCCTGGGGCCTGAACCTGGACCTGGGTGCTGTCCCTCAGCTCTTCAGCTCAAGGCTAGCGCTCTACCATTTGAGCCACAGCGCCACTTCCGGCTTTTTTCTTATGTGGTGCTGAGGAATCAAACCCAGGGCCTCAGGCATGCAAGGCAAGCACTCTACCACTGAGCCACCTTCCCAGCCCCTGATTGTATCATTTTCAATCCTATCTCTCACCAAACTTTCCATCTGTTGCCAAGATAACTCTTGAAATGCCAACAGATTAGCTGACTACTGATCATCTACTGCTGTGGAATAAAGTATTACCAACTCTTTGTTGGTTGTGGGTCCTGAACTCTGGGCCTGGGTGTTGTCTCTGAGCTCTTCAGCTCAAGGTGAGCACTCTACCGCTTGAGTCACAGCGCCACTTCCCGTTTTCTAGTGGTTTATTGGAAATAAGAGTCTCACAGATGTTCCTGCCCAGGCTGGCTTTGAACCTCGATCCTAAGATCTCAGCTTCCTGAGTAGCTAGGATTACAGGCATGAGCCACCAGCACCCAGCTTACCAACTCTTCTTCAATATCTTTCCATCAACCTTTAACTGAACTCACCTTGAAAACCGTGTCTTTCTTTTGCATGCTTGGGTACCAAATAAAATGGCTGTCGTCTTAAATCATTCCTAACTTTTTTTCCAAGCCAATTTTGGATAAGCAGGCCTTCCTTGGTGTTAGCAGGCCAACTAGTTTTTGCTTCCAAAGCCAGGATTACATCCACAGATATCTTTTCAGGTATTTCAATAAGAAGTGTTACAGCAGGGCTCCCTGGCTTTTTCTTCTCCATACTGACATTTTGATCTGTTTAAATAGATAGAAGGGAGGGAAAGACTGCTTCAATTTTCTCTCAAAGAATGGGGAAACAATATAACTATAATTAAAGATCTGTATCTGAGGACTGTGGTTCAAGGCCAGCACCAGAAGGAACGTCCATGCAAATCTTTTTTTTTTTTTTTTTGGTTGTGGGGCTTGAACTCTGGGCCTGGACGCTGTCCCTCAGCTCCTTCAGTTCAAGGCGAACAACTTCCAGCTTTTTTTTCCTGCTTATGTGGTGCTGAGGAATTGAACCCAGGGCCTCATGCACGCAAGGCAAACACTCTACCACTAAGCCACCTTTCCAGTCCAGTCCATGGCATTCTTATTGCCAATTAACAACCAAAGAAACAGAAGTAGAGCTGCAGTTCAAGTGATACAGTGCCAGCATCGAGTGAAAAGTTAAAGGACAGAGCTGGGCACCGGTGGTTCACACCTATAATCGTAGCTACTCAGGAGGCTGAGATCTGAGGATCACGATTCAAAGCCAGCCCGGGCAGGAAACTCCATGAGACTCTTATCTCCATTAACCACTAGAAAACCAGAAGTGGTGCTGTGGCTCAAGCAGTAGAGCACTCACCTTGAGCTGTATAAGAGCTGAGGGACAGCGCCCAAGCCCAGAGTTCAGAGTTCAAGCCCCTTGACCAACAACAATAACAAAAAAAAAAAATTAGACTGTTTAACAAAATATATATCAGAAACTTGAAACGTGTCTTCTCTGAAGGTGTTAGGGGTTAAAAGGAAGGGAGTGGATGGAGAGGGGAATGCTGGGTGAATGCAATAAGACTCATTGTGCATAGGTGAAAATGGAACCAGTTAACATGAGGGGATGCGTGGAGTTGCCAGAGATAGGACAGAGCAATGAAAGGGATGACACTGATCGAGGTGCATTGTACTCACAAAGAGACATGTTCAGAAATACCCTTGTACAATTGCTTTTAAAAAAGCTTTTTTGATGCCAGTCCTGGGACTTGAACTCAAGGCCTAGGTGCTGCCTGAGCTTCTTTTACTCAAGGCTAGCATACTACCACTTGAGCCACAGCACCACTTCCAGCTTTTTTGGTAATTTAGTGGAGATAAGAGTCACACAGACTTTCCTGAGTTGCCCTCCCAGGACTCTGATTAAAAAAAAAAAAAATAGAAGGGCTGGGAAAATGACTCAGTGGTGTTTGCCTCGCATGCATGAGGCCCTGGGTTCAATTCCTCAACACCACATAAGCAGAAAAAGCCAGAAGAGGCACTATGGCTCAAGTGATAGAACACTAGCCTTGAGCTGAAGAGCTGAGGGATAGCGCCCAGGCCCAGAGTTCAGGCCCCACGACCGACAGAAAAGAAAAACAGAAAAAAGAAAGACTGCGCCAAATGGACCATCACTTTAGACCTCATGAGCTCTAGTTGCCCAAATGAAGACAGCTACTGGTCAGATAGCCATGGTGGTCAGACATACAGGTGGCTTTGGGAATTGGGAGTGAGCTGGAAATACGATTCCAAGATCAGGTTTCTGGGAGGGGCGTCAGTGAGGATGTAAATCACCAAGGAGAAAACGCTCTGAAGATCTTCTCCGCCCATTTTGTACTTTCCTTCTCTAACCAGCGTCTTCAACCTGCCAGAGACCATCCCTGCACACAGACCATGGACTCCCTCCTGTCATCTTCCCAGGCACCTTGCTCTAGTTATTCCCTATCGTACATCATCTATCCTACCTTCTTTACAAGATCAGATACAGAGGATTAAAGCATCTCTACCTCTAAAATACCCCTCTTGATGAACATCTCCATGATCACTCATCTTTCTGCTTCCTTCTCACCCAAAACTGCTTACACGTGCAGCCTCTATCACAACCCTTTTTATTTTCTTTTCTGTGTGTGTGTGCATGTGTGTGTGTGCACGCGCACGCACGCATGCCATTATTGGGACTTGAACTCAAGAGACTTGAGCTCTCACTTGGCTTTTTCACTCAAGGCTGGAGTTCTACCACTTGAGCTACATCTCTGCTTCCACCTATTTGCTTGTTAAGAGTCTCACAGACCTTTCTGCCCTGGCTGGTTTCAAACCAGCATCTTCAGATTTCAGCCGCCTGAGTAGCTAAGACTACAAGCATGAGTCACCCAGTAACTTTTTTTTTTTTTTTTTTGTTGGTCGTGGGGCTTGAACTCTGGGCCTGAGCGCTGTCCCTCAGCTCTTCAGCTCAAGGCAAGCACTCTATCACTTGAACTACAGCGCCACTTCCGGTTTTCTGGTGGTTTATTGGAGATGAGTTTCACGGACTTTCCTGCCTGGGCTGGCTTTGAACCCTGATCCTCAGAGCTCAGCCTCCTGAGTAGCTAGGATTACAGGAGTGAGCCACTGGCGCCCGGCCTGACTTTTCATTTTTTATGTCCATTGCTCCACTGAAATTGCTTTTGACAATATCAAAAATGGCCCAAAACCGAAGATCAAGGTAGGCTGTGGCACCTCACGCCTGTAATCCTAGCTACTCAGGAAGCTGAGATCTGAGGACAGCAGTTTAAAGCAAGCCAGCACAGGAAAGTCCATGAGACTCTATCACCAGTTAACCACCAAAACACTGGAAATGGAGATGTGGTTCACGTGGTAGAGTAACAGCCTTCAGGGAAAAGTTAAAGGACAGCTTCCAGGCCGAGTTCAGCCCCAGTACCAGCATACAAAAAACCAATTCCTTGAAGATCATGTCAACAGCATGCTAAACTTAATCCTATCCTCTTCATCCCTATCCTCATCTCCATCCTCATCCCTGTCCTCATCTTCATCTCCATCCTCATCCCTGTCCTCATCTTCATCCCCATCCTCATCTTCCTTCCCATCCTCATCCCCATCATCATTCAGATCCCATCCTTTCCATCCTCCTCCCCACCCTCCTCCCCAACCCATTCTCCCCCCCCCCATAGCACTTACCTACCCTCTGGTATACAGATCATTATTTTAAATTTTTTATTAAGTGTATTTTTGTGCTTGCAAGATTATAAGATATGGAGAGTAGAAGTCAGCCTTGAACTGTTCAGCAATGTTCCCTAAAAGCCTAGGAGATGAATCAGTACTGTTTAATGAGTAGTAATACCCTGAATGGACACACTGCTTCAGTGGCCTCACCCATCCCCAATGCCACCACATGGTGCTGACTTCCAAATGCTTACTTGCCCCCAAACGCATCTTCTGTAGTGCAGGTCTGTATTCAACCATGCACTTTTGCCACTTTCATTGTGATATGGTACAAAAATCTCTAACCTAACATATTCACATCCAAAGTCTCAATTCACATTGTTTGGTGCAGTTTGGCTCTGAAGAGTCCCTGAAAGGTCCATGTGTGAAAGACTTGTTCCCAAGGTGATACTGGTGGCAAGGAGTGGAGCTGTTAGGAGGCACCGTCTTTCGATCATGGGACGGGGAGGGGCTTCCTCTTTCTCAGATGCTGGACATGGATGATGTCCCTGAGCTTTTTTTTTTTTTTTTCCTCAAGGCAAGTGTGCTATCACCTGAGCCATAGCTATACTTCCAGCATTTGGGTAGTTAATTGAAGAATTAGACTTTATCTCCAATTAACTAGCAAAAAGCTGAAAGTGGAGGTAGAGTGCCAACCTTGAGTAGAAAAGGCAAGCAAGAAAAAATGAAGAATCCTGCCAACTTTCTCCAGGCATATTTTTTTTTTCCAGTGCAAATAGCTGTTTCTAGAGGAAGGTAGTATTCAACAGTTTGCTACAGGAAGGTCAAAAGAGATCAAAGGCTGGAAATGTGGCTCAGTGGCAGAGTGTTTGCCTAGCATGCATGAAGCCCTAGGTTCAATTCCTCAGTAGCACATTAACAGAAAGATTCAAGGGGTAGAGTGCTAGCCTTGAGCAAAAGAAGCTCAAGGACAGTGCCCAGGTCCTGATTTCAACCCACAACTGGCAAAAAAAAAAAGAATCAAAAGTAACAAATCTGGGCTGAGAAGGTGGCTCAGTGGTAGAGCACTTGCCTTGCATGCCTGAGGCCCTGGGTTCGATTCCTCAGCACCACATAAGCAAAAAGAAAAAAAAACAGGAAGTGGCGCTGTGGCTCAAGTGGTAGAGCGCTAGCCTTGAGTTGAAGAGCTGAGGGACAGCGCTCAGGCCCAGAGTTCAGGCCCCACGACCGGACCCAAAAAAAAAAAAAAGTAACAAATCTTTCTCTAGGACATATCTAAGGTTGAGTTAGGATACAGTAGAGGACAACTGCACACACATTCACTGCCACACTATTCACCATGGCCAAGTTATGGTTTCAGATATCCTTCAATGGACGAATGGATAAGAAAATATGATATAGGTATATAAACATACACACACAACAAAATTTATTCATCCATCAGGAAAAATGGTATTGTGTCACACAGAGAAATGGGAAAACCATACATTAAATGAAGTCAGACCTAGAGAGACAAAAGACACATGACATGTTTACTTTCATATGTGACCTTAGAACTAAATAATAAATGTTTGTACATATACAAGACCATGCTTATATATACAAACATGTTCACTAAAGTAAGGATTCCAATGGTGTAATGCCTTTGAACAACTAACTTATGGTTTAACAAAATGAATACCAGCAGACTGAATCAGGTGTTAAGCAAGGAGGTGGTGTAATCAAAGGGAAGGTAGATCAATGGAGAGGGAGAGGGGAAGGGGAGGTAACTACAATAATGCAATGTTTTTATATAAAAATAGAAGCAGGTAGCTGGATGCCGATGGCTCACACCTGTAATCCTAGGTACTCAGGAGGCTGAGATCTGAAGATCACGGTTCAAAGCCAGCCTGGGCAGGAAAGTCCCTGAGACTCTTATCTCCAATAAACCACTAGAATACCGGAAGTGCCGCTGTGGCTCAAGTGGTGGAGCACTCACCTTAAGCTGAAGAGCGCAGGAACAGTGCCCAGGCCCAGAGTTCAAGCCCCACAACGAACAAAAAAAAGAAGCAGGTAAAGTGAGGGAGTAGGTGGGGTTGGGAGAGATGGAGGGAGGAGATTGATGGAAAAGATGGCATTGATCAAGATATATTGTGGCTGGGAATGTGGCTTAGTGGAAGAGTGCTTGCCTAGCATGCATGAAGCCCTGGGTTCAATTCCTCAGTACCACATAAACAGAAAAAGCCCAAAGTGGCGCTGTGGCTCAAGTGGTAGAGCGCTAGCTTTGAGCAAAAGAAAATCAGGGACAGTGCCCAGGCCCTGATGTACTCACAAACAGCATGTTGCATTGAAATCCCTCTGTACTACTGAAGAATAATTTTAAAAATAAAATAAAATCTTACCTTTCATATTTTTAATTTCTTCCTTAATGATTTTCCGAAACTTCATCAGCATCTTAGAAGCAGATAGTATTTCCCCTTCTAAAAATTGACTCAAAGGATTTCCTTTTGGGTTTCTTTTGAACTTTACAAAGTAGTGAGCCCCACTGTTGGGGTATTCTTCTAGCTGAATTCTGGGGACTTCCAATTTAAACATGACATCAAATTCATTAGGCGAAGAAATCTAGGGAACAGTTTTAAAAAGTAGCATTTAAATATTTGCTTCTATTTTCCAAGCTACTGCAATTGTTTTCTTGAAATTTCCACTTGAAATCCACCTACTTTAAAAAGCAAGATTTCTAAAATTTGTACCTTGGGGTATGGGAGCCTGACACTGGGGATGGGAGGATTCTTACTGGTTATAATTTGTACAGCTTTTGTTTTTCCTTTTTGCCAGTCCTGGGGCTTGAACTCAGCCGGGGCACTGTCCCTGAGCTTCTTTTGCTTATGTCAGCACGCTACCACTTGAGCCACAGCACCATTTCTAGCTTTTCCTGTTTATGTGGTACTGAGGAATCAAACCCAGGCTTCATGCATGCTAGGCAAACACTCTACCACTAAGGCACACTCCCAGTCCAATTTGTACAGGTTTCAGCCTTCTACATTTTTCTCATTTTACCACAAGGAAGCTTTTTGCATGTGTATGTGCCTGTATTGCAGCTTTAACTCAGGGCCTGGGCGCTGTCTCTGAGCTTTTTTGCTCAAGGCTAGCTCTCTACCACTTGAGCCACACCTCCACTTCCACCTTTTTTTTTTTTAAGTTGCAACCCTCAGATCACAGCCTCCAGAATAGCTAGAATACAGGTGTAAGCCACTGGCACCCAGCTAACCATTTTCTATAATTAGAATTTTAAATGATATGGTAAGCTTTTAAAATCTACACCAGTTGCTTTTTCTGTTTCATAAAATTAAAAACCTAGCCGGGCGCTGGTGGCTCACGCCTGTAATCCTAGCTACTCCGGAGGCTGAGATCTGAGGATCACAATTCAAAGCCAGCCCGGGCAGGAGAGACTGTGAGACTCTTATCTCCAATAAACCACCAGAAAACCGGAAGTGGCGCTGTAGCTCAAGTGGTAGAGCACTCGCCTTGAGCTCAAGAGCTGAGGAACAGCGCCCAAGCCCAGAGTTCAAGCCCCACGACCGACAAAAAAAAAAAAAAAATTAAAAACCTAGCCAGAAGCTGGAAGTTAGTGCCTGTAGTCTTTGCAACTGAAGAGGAGGAGATCTGAGGACCTCAGTTCTAAGCAAGCTTGTGCAAAAAATTCCATGAGACTCTCATCTCCACTTAACCACCAAAAAGCTGGACGTGGAGCTGTGGCTCAAGTGACAGAGTGCCAGCCTTGAATGAAAATGCCAAGCCATGGGCTGGGAAGGTGGCTCAGTGGTAGAGCGCTTGCTTTGCATGCATGAGGCCCTGGGTTCAATTCCTCAGCACCCACATAAGCAAAAAGAAAAAAGCCGGAAGTGGCGCTGTGGCTCAAGTGGTAGAGCGCTAGCCTTGAGCTGAAGAGCTGAGGGACAGTGCCCAGGCCCAGAGTTCTGGCCTCACGACCGGACCCAAAAAAAAAAAAAGGAAGAAAAAGAAAAGAAAAAAGAAAATGCCAAGCCAGAGCTCAAGGCCCTGAGTACCAGCGTGCACACACGAGCGCACACACGTGCGCACACACACATTAACCCTTACGATACTGTCTTTTATGTCATAATATATGCATTGCAGCCACCTGCCTGTTTCCATGGTCTCAAAATTTGCCCAGTTGAGCAAGGGCTATGTATGGCTATTGGTGACTCAAGAACAAGCTCTATTATGAATTATATTGTCTATGAAGCAGTGTTTGTAGGAGCTTTAAATAACCTTTTTCATCTTCACAATAACTCTAGCAGTCAAAATTATTATTTTTTTGTCGGTTGTGGGGTTTGAACTCTGAGCTTGGACGCTATCCCTGCACTCTTCAGCTCAAGGCAAGCGCTCTACCACTTGAATCACAGTGCCACTTCCAGTTTTCTAGTGGCTAATTGGAGACAAGAGTGTCACGGACTTTTCTGCCCGAGCTGGCTTTAAACCGCGATCCTCAAATCTCAGCCTCCTAAGTACCTAGGATTACAAGTGTGAACCACTGGTGCCCGGCTCCAAATTAATTTTTTTTGGGGGGGCCAGTCGTGGGGCCTGAACTCTGGGCCTGGGCACTGTCCCTCAGCTCTTCAGCTCAAGGCTAGTGCTCTACCACCTGAGCCACAGCACCACTTCCAGCTTTTTTCTTTTTGCTTTTGTGGTGCTGAGGAATCGAAACCCAGGGCTTCAGGCATGCAAGGCAAGCGCTCTACCACTGAGCCACCTTCCCAGCCCCTCCAAATTAATTGTTTTATCAGTTGGGCTTGAACTCAGGGCCTAGGCACTGTCCCTAAGTTTTTATGCTCAAGACTAGCATTCTACTATAGACTTTGAGCCACAACTCCACTCTCCATTTGTAGGTGGTTAAGTGGAGATAAGACTTTCCTGCCCAGGCTGGCTTCAAATTGTGATTCTCAGATCTCAGCCTCTTGAGTAACTAAGATTACAGGGGTGAGCCACCAATGCCTGGCAATATTCATTTTTTAATTCTTTTGTTTTTTTAGTCCAGGACCAGGCCCAGTATCAGTACCAGAACTCAGTACCTCATGGTACTGAGTGCTAGCTCAATGGCTAGCACTCTACCAACTGAGCCACACCTACAACCTTTATTTTTTCTGTATTAAAAATGCCACAGGGGCTGGGAAGGTGGCTCAGTGGTAGAGCGCTTGCCTTGCATGCCTGAGACCCTGGGTTCGATTCCTCAGCACCACATAAGAAAAAGAAAAAAGCCGGAAGTGGCGTTGTGGCTCAAGTGGTAGAGCGCTAGCCTTGAGCTGAAGAGCTGAGGGACAGTGCCCAGACCCAGAGTTCAGGCCCTACAACCGGACCCAAAAAAAAAAAAATGCCACAGGGACAGAGAAAAGGGGCCCTTTTCCAGGGTAGACTCAGAAAATGATGGGGGCACATTTGTAACCTATGGGCTTTAGTTTCCTCACCTGCATTATGAGTCAACCTTGAAGGTTACTTGAGTTCATAGAGAATGCACATGGAGAGCTTGGTTTTCTTACTAGCATAGCCTGGACCTAGTTTTGTTACGTTTATACATCAGGCCTTGTAAAGGTCACACATTCAGACCTTGAATATCTTGAGACATGTTACTGGAAGAAAATGAAGATGTGTTTGAAACTACAGCAAACATGACCTCAAGTTCTTTCATTTGTGTTGCTAACAGAGTTGTGTTTCAATGCAGCTCTGGTAGTTGACCAGGATGCCCTGGCAGAAGCTCTGAAGAATAAGGTCATTAAAGCTGCAGCACTAGATGTGACATCCAGAACCCCTGCCAAGGGAGCAACCTTTGTTGAAACTGAAGAATGTCATTCTGACGCTTCATATTGGGAGTGCAACTCATCAAGCCAGACAACAAATGATGGGAACTATGGTTGGAAGCATCCTGACTTCTCTCAATGACCTTCCCATTCCTAATGAAGTGGTACTTAAATGATTCATGTGAACTGAGAATCCACTGGGATGAAAAAATGGCAGATTAAAATGGGGAGAAGCTGTATTGTACGATAGACTCATCATGCAGCTTAGTTTAATAGTGTTGAGATGGAAGTGCTTTAAGAATAGTAATAATAAACTGGGTTCACACTTGTAATCCTCGCTATTCAGAAGGCTGAGATCAGGAGAATGGAGGTTTTAAGCCAGGATAGGAGGAAGTTCTCAAAACCTCTGTTCAGCAGTCAAAGCTGGATGTGGTGGTATAAGCTTATCATTACAGCTACCATGTAAAGCACACATAGGACAACTGCGGCCAAGTGGGGCCAGGCCAAAAGCTCAAGCTTATCTCAAAAGTAACCAGAGCAAGAAGGCTTTTAGGCATAGCTTGTCTAGTAAGTGTAACACTGAGTTCAAACTCTAGCACTGCCAAAAAAGAACAGTAATAATATTTACTGCTTTATTTCTGTTATCACACCTCATCCTCAAGACAGCTCCTTAGAGAAGTTCCAACTGTTAATCTTTTATAGGTTCAGCCTTCAAACAGATCTAAATGAAAACTCTAGGCTTGGTTTTTATTTGATTTGGATAAAACCCGTGTTACATCTGCAAATTTTCTGGTTAAGTTTCTTTCCATCTTCTTAAAGTCTTTTTCTAGTTTGCTTTTGATACAGAGTCTCACGATGCAACTCAGACTGGCCTCTAATTTGGGATCCTGCTGTTTCAGCCTTCTAAGCACTGAGGTTACAGATGTGTGCCATCATATCCCTGCTTTGTTAAAATACTGATCACGTCTTGGATTACATATTCTCCCTGATACTGGAATCAGTTTTCATTTATTCAATAAACAACTGTTGAGAACTTAAAAAAAAAATGCCACAGGGCTGGGAATATGGCTAAGTAGTAAGAGTGCTTGCCTAGTATACATGAAGCCCTGGACTCAACTCCTCAGTACCATATAAACAGCCAGAAAGTGGCATTGTAGCTCAAGTGGTAGAATGTTAGCCTTGAGCAAAATAAGCTCAGGGACAGTGTCCAAGCCCTGAGTTCAAGTCCTAGGACTAGCAAAAAAAACAAAACAAAACAAAGTCACAATTCACGGGATGCAAATGGTCTCATGCCTGTAATCCTACCTATTCAGGAGGCTGAGAACTGAGGATCATGGTTCAAAGCCAGGAGAGCAGGAAAGCCCATGGCTCTGATCTTTAATTAACCACCAGAAAACCAGAAGTGGAGCTGTGGCTCAAGTGGTAGAGCACGTGCCTGAAGCTGAAGAGCTCAGGGACAGCGCCCAGGCCCAGAGTTCAAGCCCATGGCAAACAAACAAAAAAATCAGCCCAAGTGGAAAAGTTCGTGATCTTTGTAGAGTATAACTTAATTTTCTGAATAGGTAGTAGCAATGTACTTCCATAGCTCTCACACCTTTGTCAGCACTTAGAATTGTCATGCTTAGTTTTGTTAATTCTACAGGAAAGACTAATTAGCTTTAATTTGCATTTCCTTGATGATTAATGAATGATGTTTAATACATTCCTTATTTATTGATATTCGGGTTGCATACTAACCTGTTTAATTCTCTGCTCAGTTTTCAATTGGTTTGTTAATCTTTTTCTTTTCATTAAGTTTTTTTATTGTGA